TCTCTGTCCCTTTACTTTAATCTAAACATATCTTTATATTTAAATGAGTTTCTTGTAGACAGCAGATAGCTGTGTCTCATTGTAAGGGCTACTCTAACAATTTTCACCTCTTAATTGACATTTTTAGACCTCCAGTGTTTAAAGCAATTACTGAGATAATTGGATTAACATCTACCATATTTTCCCCACTGTTTTCTGTTTCTTCATCTTGCTCTTTGTTCCTACTTTTGTCTTTTACAGTCTTCTACCTTTTGTGGTTTTAATTGAGTACTTTATATGATTCTAATGTCTCCTTTCTTGTTTGTTTGTTTGTTTTTTGTCTTTTTGAGACAGGGTCTCTCCATGCAGTTCATGCTGGCCTTGAGCTCACTTTGTAGCCCTGGCTGGTCTCGAACCCACACTGATCCTCCTGCCTCAGCCTCCCGAGTGCTGGGATTATAGGCATAATTAGGATTATATGCCACCATGCCTGGCTTGTCTCCTTAACCAGAAATTTTACTTCTTTTAGCCAAGTGTGATGGCACACACCTGTAATCTCAGCACTCTGGGATATTTTTCTTTTCTCCCAACACTTTAAATACTACCCTCCATTCTCTTCTTACTTTCATGGTTTCTGAGAAGTTGAGGTAATTTTTTTTACCTTATAAATAAGATGTTTTTCCTTTATCTCCTTTTTTTTTTTTAAGAGTAGGAAAATTTACTGGAGAAAAGAAATAAGAAATAGACACAGGAGGGGTCCCGAATCTGTTGCCAATGCGCTCACCTCTCGAAGGAAGTTTTATAGGGCAAAATCACAAGGTAGATACTCCAGTCAAAATATTTTAGGGATGCCATGAAACAAAAGCAAGCTTGTATCTCCTTCCAAATATCTCATTAGAACCTCCAAAGTGATATAGGGGAAATGCTAGATGTCACATACGTCGAGTTTGTGTTCCCCAAAGTCGAAGAATGAATTCTAAGGACCAACAGAGGTTAAGAGTAGGAAAATTAAAAACAAATAAAAAGAGTAGGAATAGCTCCTGAGAGACAGGAGTATCCCAAATGGGTTGCCACCTTCTATCTCCTTTTAATATTTTCCTTTATCTTTGATTTTCTGCAGTTTGATTATGACATGTGCCTAGCTATCAGGGTTTTTGGTTTGTTTCGCTTTGTTTTGTTTTGTTCATATTCATCCTTCTTGATGTTCTTTGAGCTTCCTAAGTCTGTTGCTTTGTTTCTGACATTATTGTGCAAAATTCTGTCCTTACATCTGGTATTGCTTACATTGTTTTCTCGCTTTCATTTATTCCCATTTTGTATGTTTGTACTTTTTGTAGTTGTCCCACAATTCTTGAATTTTCTTTTCTTTTTTTTTCTCTATTTGCGGTTCAGTTTGGGAAATTTCTATTGTCATAGTACCAGGCTTAGAGATTTTTTTCCTTAGCCATGTCCAGCCTAGTAATGAGTCCCTCAAAGGCATTTTTCATTTCTGTTACAATATCTTTGGTCTCTAGCACTTCTTTTTTATTATGTCTTAGAATTTCTATCACTCTTCATACAATCAGTCACTTCTTGTGTGTTGTCTACTTTTTCCACTAATTCTCTTAGCATATTAAGATTTCCCTTAGTATCATAGGTTTGAAACATTCCTGCTAATTCTAACATTTCTACTCTTTCTGACTCTGGTTTTGATGTTTATTCAAAACTGTGTTTCTGCTTTTTACTGTGCCTTGTAACTTTATTGATAGATGGGCATGATATATTATGTAAAAGGAACTATGATAAATAGACCTTTAGTAATGCAGTGGTAAGGTATGAGGAGAAGAAAAGTGTTCTCTAGTCTGATAATTAGTCTCTGTGTCAGCCTGTGCCCCTGAACTATGAATTTCACCAGTGCTAATGGGGAGTTTGCAGGGGGTTTTTTATCCCCTCTCTGGATATGTATTTTTTCTGGGGATGGGTGGATATTTCCTTTTTCCCTCAGCGAAAGCTAGAGAGAACAGGAGTTATTTGCCTTCTTCCAGGTTGTTTACGCCCTAATAAAACAGTGTTTTGGCTCACTCAAATTAATTTCTCCTGAGAGCAGACCTTATTAAGAACACAATGTTCTGAGTCAGGTATGGTGGTGCCCTTCAGTAATGCCAGCACTCCTGGAATGATAAGGCAGGAGAATCACAAGTTGGAGCCTAACCTGGGCAACTTAGTGAGACTCTGTCTCAAAATTCAAAAAAAAGAAAGAAAAATTGTTGAGGTGAGAGAAGAGAAGGAAGGAAAGGAGGAAGGGAGGAAGGGACAGAACAGCACGTACTGGCGTATTTCAAAATGGCTCCCTTTCTCCCTGCTGAAAGCACAGGGCCTTTGTCACCGATATTCACTGAGAGAACATGGTAGAATGTGTGGGGAATAACTGAGTTCTCTTGGACTTTTAACTCTGTTGGACTTGTCTTCATTGAACCTTCAGAAATTTGTCAATTATACTTTAGGTTTTCCTGTCTCAGAACTGTGGAGATTTCTGCTCCGTGGAGTTTCTCTCCCCTAAATTGTGATTCTCTCTATTTGCTTGTTTGTCTCTCCAGGTTTGGGGCCATCAGTTTGTCTGTGGTCTCTCTTCTCTGACTAACAGTTGTTGATTTTTCCACTTTATCAGCTTTTTACTTGTTGGGATGGAGTGGCAGTTCCTAAACTCCCAATGTGCCAGACTCAGAACCTGGAAGTTGATTTTGTTTTTAAATAAAATTTGAAAAAAAAGATATAGGTCAATAGCAAAACCTCTTTTCTTCCTCTCTGTGTCTCCCTCCTTGCTTGCTTGTTTGGTTGTTTGTTTGGGTTTCTTTTGTTGTTGTTGTTCTTTTTGTTTTGGTTTTTTGGGACAGGGTCTCACTATGTAGTTCAGACTGGCCTCGAACTTGCAGCAGTCCTCCTGCCTCAGCTTCTCAAGTGCTGGGATTACAGGCATGCCCCATTATGCCCAGCCTATTTTTTGTTTCTTTGACCATGGATAGAATCCAGGGCCTCATGCATGCTAGACACGTGCTCTGCCACTGAGCTATAGCCCTAGCCATCAGTGGAAGATTTTCTGTTGCAGCTATTATGGCTCCTCGTGGTAGCCCAACCTATTGTAGGGTGTATTTTTAAATTGTTTTTTGCCCTTTTCCTATTTGTACTTGGCCCAAACTGTCTCTGTAGAGCCTGGGTTTTTTTCTACCTTTAATAAATATGAAATTTTGCCATTATTAACCAAAAAAAGGGGAGCTGGGATATAGCTCAGTGGCAGAGCACCTGCCTGGGAAGCACAAGGTTCTGAGTTCGGTTCCCAATACAAACAAAAAAAAGAGAAAATTTTCTGTTACCACCCTCATCTCTCCTTCTGGACTCCACCCGATAATTTCCCATGAGTCATTGAGGTATTGTTAATCTTTCTTTCTGCCTGAGATTGAACTCAGGGCTTCATGTTGCTAAGTATGCATCCTACTGCTCCACTTCAGCCCTCGTCCAGTTTTTAAAAAAATCCTTCTTTCCATGTTTCAGTTGGAATTGTTCCATTGGCCTATCTTCAATTTGATTATTTTTTTGTTGTATACAATCTTCTGTTAATCACATCCAGTGAACGTTTTTTCTAAAATTCCCAATTAATTCTTTTTTACAAGTGATACATTTCTCCCAAAATTCTGTATCTCTTTACCTATTACTTCAATTTCAGTAGATTCTTTAAAATTTATCATAGTTATTTTGAACTTCTTGTCTGCTAATTAAAACACCCAAGTTAGCTATGGATCTGTTTCTATTGACTGATTTTTCTGTTGAATGTGGGACACATTTTTTTCCACATCTAGTAATTTTTTATTGCATACTGGGCAATGTGGATAGTACATTAAAGATACTCTGAGGGGTGGGGATGTGGCCTAGTGGTAGAGTTCTTGCCTTGCACGCACAAGGCCCTGGGTTCGATCCCCAGCACCACCAAAACAAAAGATACTCTGAATTAAATTCTTCCTCTGAAAACTGTTGTGTTTTTATCTAGCAGTTAAGTTACTGATAGTGTTGCCTTTTTAGAGGCTTAGTTTTAGGACTTATCAGAGAAAGTCCATTTTGGCTGAAAAATCCCTAGTCCTAAGATGTAGTCTTTATTCCTAAATTATGTATTTCCAGAGTTTCATTAGAAAGTCTTATGTGTTCCAAACTCTATCTACTATCTGTAGGAAATTGTTAAAATATATGCTCAGTTCTACCAACTTGAGTTGGTACCCTGGACTCCTTACCCCAACCTCAGTTCTGCATACCCTAGACTCCTTGGAATTTTGCCCTGTGGATGGACAGTTCAGGGATCCTCCAAAGATTAGAGGGAAGCATTTATGCAGATTTTTGTTCCCTGTCTATGGCTCATAGCTTTCTATGATTCTCGCTCAATTTCCTGCTTCTCTGGCAGCCTCAACTCCAACCTCTTACCCCTCAAACCAATAAAACTGAAGACTGTTGCTTGAGCTCTGTTTGCTAGTCTGTACACTCTGAGAAAAAAAACTATGTATATGAGTTTTACCCAGTAGAGTTCACTTCATCTATTGATTAAACATTGTTCCAAGGGCTTCTGGCTGTCCTTTAATTTCCATTAACTTCAACAGTTTCTTGTGTTTTGTTTAATATTAGTTCAATACAAGCTACTCCCTGTACTTCTCCTTTTTCCTTTTTTTTTTCGGAAACAAGGTCTCACTATGTAGTATAGGCTGGCCTTGAACTTGCTTATATACCCCAGGCTGGCCTTAAACTCATGGTAATCCTCCTGTGTCAGCTTCCCAAGTGCTAGGATTGCATCACAATGCCTGGCTGCCTTTTTTTAATTTTTCTCCTCTTTGTGTGTGTGTGTGCACGTGTGTGTGTGTGTGTGTGTGTGGTACTTACTAGCCAAGCACTGTACCAGTGCACTACATCCCTATCCCATCTTTCTGTGTTTCTCTAAGTCTTTCTCTTTGTCTCCTCTCCCTCACTCCCTCCCTCTCTTACTTTATCTTTGTCTCTCCTTGCAGGGAGAACCTGGCCCCAAAGGAGACCCTGGTGAGAAGAGCCACTGGGTAAGCTCTGGTCTAGCCCTAGCCTCCCCTTGTCTTCTCCCACCCTGGGTGCTCAAGAGAGAATTCTCTCACCAGTAGGCCCTGGGAGTGGGGTGCCCCATCCGCATTCCCTCTACTGCCTGGGCTCCCAGACTGATACCTGGGCAATTCCCTGCCTCAGTCCCCTCCCTATCCTGTCACTCCCAACTGGGAAGGACCAGCCCTATCAGCAGACCCCACCGCTCTCTGTCTCTGTCTTTGTCCCTGTCGCTACATTTGCTCTGTAGCCTTTCAGGGCCAGGGTAGCTCTGTCTAGTCCTACTGGGTGGTTTGGGTTGACCCAGGCCAGACTGCATCCCCTGCCGCCATAGTCCCCTCCTAGAAAGGGCTTTGACTTCTGCTCCCCTGTCAGAAAGAAAGGAAAGCATGAAGACAGTATCAACATGGAATGACAGAATAGGGGACCTTAGGAAAGCCATGAACTACAGGAAGGGAGGCCTAGAAGCAGTGAGATGCACAGAGGCCCCACAGCAAAAGGGACAGGGAATCTAGATACCATCATACGCACAAAAAATCTAGGAAGCCTGAAAAGAGAGGCCTTGAGGGCATTATACACACATTTGACATGGTTCAGGTGACCTGCTGCCACTATGCCCCAAAAGACCTGTAAGTAACATGAGGTGCTAGATACCATCCCTCAAGTAGGAGGTCCATGATGAATAGCAAGGGAAGCCTAGAAACTGTCACATGCAAAGGAGAATTACGGAAAATGGGATCAGGGGATCCAGATACCACTACAAATAAAGAAAACAAGGAAGAATAGGAAGGGGGTCCTAGAAATTGTCACATACACAAGAGACATAGGGAAACAAGAGTGGGGTCCTAGAAACCACACACTTAGAAATCCCATGACTCATGTGGGCTCCTAAAGATCATTACAATTATTGGAGATAATTATAATTATATAATTCATTCAAATGAATGAATTTCAGGACCTAAACATCTACTCCTCCGGGAGATACATGAGAGACAGATCAGGAGCCTAGAACACATCCACTGTGTCTCAAAGTTCCACAGTACAAGGACCTAGAAACCAATGACATAAGGGACAGACACCCCACAGGAGAGATACCTTGGGTGCTCTTCTGGAGGATGGCATCATGCTCCCTCCCCCTATTTCCCTGCACCCTGCAATCTGGCCAGGATACCCTACTTCTGGCAGTCACAAGTTAGTGAGGATGTGGGCAGTCCCCAGTGCCTGCCCTCTTAGTTGCTGATTGTGGGGTCAGTGATGGATACAGCCGTGGGAGCCCCCTATCCTGCACGAGTCCTCCCCCTATGTCTCTCCATGACTTCTGGGGCTCTGCTACCTCTCCTAGCTGCTTGCTGTCCACCTACCACCACCACTACAGCTCCAGACTACAACCAGAGCAGGCATGAGCTGAGCTGGGGGGTCAGGTAGATCCCTCACTCTCCTCTCCCAGGGACCCTTAGGCTGGGAACATGTTTTCCACATAGCCCAGGAGAGGTGGGAGAGGTGAGGTTAAGGCAGCATTAGGCTGTGCAGTCCCACCCCTTCATGGGGATCCTGACAAGGGGACAGGATGCCTGGGCCACCCAGACCAGGCCTTGCACACAGCACTACCCCTGGGACAGGCCACCCAGGAAGTAGCAGGGCCCCTGCTCCTGCTCGTCCTCCTTCCTGCCCCTGCACTTCTCCCCCTGCTTGCTGCCTGCTTGGGGAGGGGACCTGCTGGGTTGGGAGTCGCATGAAGCTTTGAGGCTGGGGGCCCAGCTGGCTCTGTTGGAGGTAGGTGGGGATGGGAAAGGGGAAGGGAGGCCCAGTGCTGGTGATTCTCTGAGGGCTCCTGTGTTCATTCCACCTACCAATGCCCCCTTGCTGCAGCTTTTAGAGGTCCTGGCCTGGCTTGGCTGTGGCTCAGCAGTGACACCCAGTGGTCTTAGAGTTCAGTGTAAAGCCGTCTGTCTCCGCAGGTCGAAGCCTTCATCCCTTATTCAAACAGGGAAACTGAGCTCCAACTCTGCAGAGAAAACCTGTGGCAAAGCCTAGACTTGGCCTCCTGCCACTGCGAATGGATATGCCATCCCCATCTTCAGGGTGGTCATCATGGGAAGGGGAAGGAGGACCTGGAGTCAGCAGAGGGAGTTTGGCTGTAATAACAGATGGTGTAGTGGCCTCCCGGAGAAGATAGACTAAGCTAAAAGGTGCATAACCAGGTTCAGGGTGTCAGCAGGAGTGGGAACACCGTGTGCAAAAACCCTGGGACAAGAGTAGACCCCAGGGGCCGGGAATATAGCTCAGCAGCACAAGCACCTGCCCGGCAAGTGCAGGGTCCTGAGTTCAATTCCCAGTACCAAAAAAGTAAAAAAATTAAGAGTAGACCCCAGGTATTTGAAAAGCTACAAATACTTGGAGCAGCAGTGTGACAGAAAAGTAGAGAGACAGATCTCAGAGAGATCCTCAGGACTTAGAAGGCCATGTCAGGGAATTTAGATTTTGTTTGATAGGTCATGGACATATTCCTAAGGAAGAGAGTGACTTAGTCTATTTTGTTCGCAAAATAGCTCTTTCATTGCCACATGGAGAATGACTGGGAGAAGAGGGAACCATGGGAGAAGCAAAAAGAGCCTGGGCAGGAAACTGCTGGGGTCATCTCTGTGAGAGACTGTGGGGGGTTGGAACTGGGAGTGGGGGCAGCAAGGACAGGCCAGTGTCAATGGAGCTAAGGGACCCTTGGGCGCTGCTTTGGCTGTGAAGGGGAATGAGGAGTCAGGAAAACTTAGGATAATTAAAGAGAACCAGGAGAAGCAAGTACACTGAGTTTCGTCCCTGGAAAAATGGGACATGTGCGTATTATGGAATGGTGAGGGTGTCCAGCAGGCTCTGGACACTTAGATCCAGAGCACAGATACCGACCAGCCCAGAAAGGGACCAGTATCACCAGTGCAGAGAGCAAGCCATCCTTCTAAGAGGGGCTATTTTTTTTTTAATGCTTTCCTTTTGATTTCTACTTTGAAATTTTTCAAATACCCTATGCCAAAATGCTTATTCAATGGACATCCCTTCCTTTATGTCAGCCAATTAATAGTATTTTGCACATTTACTATTTTCCTCTTTATGTGTTTGTATATCTTTCTTTCTAATTCATCTGAAAGTAAGCTGCAAATGTCGTCCACATCTTCTTTAACATTTCAGCAGACGTCTCAATAAAAAAAACATTTTCCCAAATAACTATAATACAACTGTCATGCCTAAGAAACTAACATTAGTTAAGTAACATGATGCCACTTAATATGTAATTCGCATGTCAGTTTTACCAGTTGTCCCCAAAATTCCTTTGAAAGTTCTTTTTATTTATCCAGGTATTTTATTTACTTTCACAGTGTTGGGAATCAAACCCACGGCCTCATGGTAGACAAATGCTTTACCACTGAGCTATATCCCCAGCCCAAAACCTCTTTTTTTAAATCCAAGTTCTGATTAAGGTTGACATGTTGTGTTTGGTCATCATGTCTCTGTTCTCGTTTAGTCTGAAACAGACTTTCTGCCCTTTTCTTCCTTCTTCTTTTCTTGATCTTTTCTCCCCCATATACTGAAGATTGGATCCAGGGCCTTCACACTGAGCTAAGTCACAGCTCTTCTTTCATTTTTTAATTTTGAGACAGTGTCTCATTGAATCTCTAAACTACCCAGCCTGGGACCCAAACTCAGTCCTCTTTACTCAGCCTTTGAGAGTGCTGAGCCAGGCATGGTGGCACACGCCTATAATCCCAGTCCTTGGGAGGCTGAGGAGATTGTTGTGAGTTGTGGGTCAGCCAGGACTACAAAGTGAGTTTAAGTCCAGTTTGAACTGCATAACAAGACCCTGTCTCAAAAAAAAAAAAAAAAAAAATAGTGCTGAGATTATAGTTGTGCACCATCACACTCAGCTTTGACTTTTTTTTCAGTTGCTTGTTTGCTGTTGTTTATTTTGTTTGTTTCTTTGTTTTGAGACAGGGTCTCACTATGTATCCAGACTTGCCTTGAATTCATTAAATAGCCTAGGCTCACCTTGAACTCTCAGTGATCCTCCCGTCTCAGCCTCCCAAGTGCTAGATTGTAGGCATGCACAAGCATACCTGGCCTGACTCTGTCTTTCATAGAATGTCTCAGTCTAGATTTGTTCAAGCGATTCTTCAGTGAGATGCAGTGCAGTTAAGTACTTGGTAGGAACACTTATGGTGGAAGTTGTGCCCTTGGGTTATATCTCATCATGGTGCCCAGGGTGTCACTCTGTCCCACTGTCCCTGCTGAGAACTCTGTCCCACATCCCTTTACTTAATAAAGTTCAAGTAAAGGATTCCAAGAGAGAATTCTAGATGTTGTCAGAACTGGAACAGTTCTCATCCTGGTCTCTGTTGAAGTTGAGATACATACATTCTGGAAATCGCTTCTTTCAGCTAAGCAAGAGAAAGGAGCGAGGAAGCATGGAGATGTTGCGGCTCCGTGGAGGAGAAGGAAAGGACAGACTGGGAGGAAGTCAGGGTGATTGCTGATTGTGAAGGTCTCTGACAGTAGCTAGCTCCACTTGTAGGGTGGGGAGCCTCAAAGCCAGGAAGCCCTGGAGAAAGAGTTTTGAGGGCCTACTACGACATCCCTGAGAGCTGGGAGGTACAGGCCTGAGAAGCAGAGGAGCAGACGAGCACTGCTTGGGGGATAGAACTGAGGGCAGGGCACCAAGATGTGCCAGAATGTAGGCCATTGTCAGAGCCCTGGCAGGGATGGACGCTGTTTTCTGGGAAGGGGCTCTGAACCAGAGCCACAGGGTCTTTTTGCGGGGAGGGGTTTGTTTTGTTTTGTTTTGTTTTGTTTTGTTTTTTGAGACAGGGTGTTGCTATGTAGCTCAGGCTGACCCTGAATTCACTGTGTAGCCTAGAGCAACCTCAAACTTGGCAGTCGTCCTGCCTCAGCCTCCCAAGTGCTGGGATTATAGGCACGTGCTGCCACACCTGACTTAGAGCCACAGGTTTGCCAGCACTCGAAGTACCAATTCCCCAACAACAGTGCCCCTCAAACATTTTCAATTTTTATTTATATTCATTTTGGTGTACATGGAAATATCAGCAACTAGCCTGATCTCACTGACAGAGTTAGTTATGGTGAGGCTAAAGTGGTAATTTAAGACAAAAAGTGAATTTAAAGAATATGAAATAAATATGAACAGTGGGATGTGGCGGGAATTATGCAAGTAGTGCAAGAGCAGCTGGAGTTGGGCAACAGAGATGAGAGGACAGGGTGGGCTCCACAGCAGGGTGGTCAGGCTCTGGGACAGCAGTTCTGCCCCTGCCGATTGGCATCCCCCTGCCGAAGAGCAGCAGGATTTGCAGTCAGCCAGGATCCAATGTCATTCTGAGGAGCCTTTCGGGGATTGCTTCTGCCTGCCTTGTTCCCTTCTTGTCCTTTCCTGGTCTTGTCCTGGCTGTCCATGGGCCCTGGGCTGTGGCAGGTGGTGCGGGCTGCAGGTGCATGTCCCGGGTGGGGCATGGACCACCAACAGGCTTTGCAGGGCCCCCTCCTCTGCCCCCATCACGGCTGCATCTGTCTCTTTCCTCCGCAGGGGGAGGGTTTGCACCAACTACGCGAGGCTTTGAAGATTTTAGCTGAGAGGGTTTTAATCTTGGAAACAATGATTGGGCTCTATGGTGAGTAGAGACAGACAGACGGACAGACAGCCCAGCCCCTGCCTGCCAGGCTTCCCCAAGCCCTTCTGGGGTAGAACTGGCATGGGCCCAGAAATGAGACTGGAGAGAGTGCCTGCCTCAAGCAGGTATGGACCTGAGAAGCCAAGACCACTCATCTTTCAGTGACCAGTCATCTCCTGCACAGGTGAAGGGGGCCCTAGAAACACAGGCCCCACCCTGGGGACCAGACCTGGACCTCTGGGCATTGTGAATAACACGGTTTCCAGGCCTGCACGGAACAGGGCTGACAGATTTTGAGTTTGAAAGAAACTATGGACAATGGTAACCAAGCTCCAGATCAGCAAGGGATTGTAGGCAACAGAGCCAGACTTCAGCAGTGCAGGGGATCATGGGATAATAGAGTCAGAGGCCAAGGCCACAGGAAGAGTGTGGGTAATGGATTTAGATTCATAGTCAGTCTTCAGCTCTAGAGAAACCAAGGGTGACAGTGTCAGGTGATGGAGCCTGTAAACCCACAGGACAATCAGTCAGAGAGACTCCAGAAGTGCAGGGGACTGTGGATGACAGAACCAGGCTTAGGCCACAGGGCACTCTGGGTAATTCACCACCTACCAGGTCTGATCCTTTTTCCCCATAGTCCCTCCTGGGCCCCGGTATCCCCCTTGCAGCTTCCACTTTGGTCCTCCTAATCTGCCCTGCAGTTCCCTTTAGATCAGGAGAGCCAGACACTCACTCCAGCATTCATCTAGCAATTCCCCACCTAGCTGGTCACTTGAGGGACCAGGCAAGCCCTGTCCCCACCTCAGGAGGAGAGATGGAGGTCTCAGTGGAAACTCATCCAGGCTCTTGCCCTGAAACCACCCGGCACCTATTCCCCCAACCCCCTCGGCTCCCCAGCCCAGCCCTCGGAGGCCAGACTCGCACCGTCTGCTCTTCTCAATCTCCCATCAGGCTCCTAGCTTACAGAGCTTCCTGCAGCAGCAGGCTCAGCTGGAGCTCCTGGCCAGACGGGTCACCCTGCTGGAAGCCATCATCTGGCCAGGTAATGGCAGGGTGGGCAGGCAGGGGCAGCCCTTCCAGGAAGGGCCTGGGCAGGGCCTGGGCATGCAGGAGGCACCTCCCAGTACTTGGCCTGGCCGGCGGATATTCATTTTTCATCCTTCCATCCAGCCAGCAGACGGTGACTGGCACAGAGAAGGCTCTGGTATCTGGTGCTCCAGGGAAGGAGCATCTGCTCTGTGTCAGGCACCTGCTGGCACTGGCTCCAACACATTAGACAGTCTCACCCTCATGGAGTTTAAGGGTCTGGGGGCCTGGGAGAGCCCTGGCATTGGCAGTGGAACCCAAGGTGAGATATCCCATGGTGGAGTGACTACAGGCACCTGGGAGAACACAGAAATGTTTCTGGCTCAGATCCATGTGAGGGTGGTGGGTAATCAGGGAGGGCTTCCTGAAGGTGATGTCTCAGTGGATACCTGAAGGGCAAGGATCAGGGGAGAGTGAACAGGCAGAGGAAGAGCAAAGGCCAAGAGACCAGAGAGGACCTAGAGGACTTTTCCTCAGTGTTGCTGAGAGGTGAGAGCCAAGGCTGGAGAATCTGACAGGGTCTAGACCTGAAAAGTTTCTAGAAGGTAGGTTGGGGTGGCATGGGAGGTAAGATTTCGGGAAGGCAGTACCCCTCCCTGTCCTAGAGTTGAGGCTGAAGACATCTCTCCCCGCAAAACCAGAGCCATGGCTGGTACTAGGGAGAGGAAGGGGTTGGCTGTCCTCAGGACGTGGCTGTTCTTTACCAACCCACCGAGAGGTCTCCCAGCTGCCCTTTGCCCATTTCTAGCCACCCCATCTCACAGTTCATGAACACATTGGACACAGGCCTTGATATGTCCAACTTCAGAGGAAACTAAGGGAAGGAGGCTCAAGGTTAGAGCCAACCTTCCTCCACTCGGCAAAACCATAGGGCATATCTGCTGAATGTCAAGCTGGGGTGAGTGCTGTGGCCCTACAGAGCAACTGGGGCCCTGCCTTGGGGAGCTGCCCATCGCTGGCAAGGAATCTGCAGTGTCTGTAGAGGTTTGGGGGATGAGAGCACCCAAGTATGTAGGTAAAGAAACTGTCACTTCTCACTGAATGTTGGGGACAATTTCTTGCAAGACGGGACACTTGCACTGGGTCATGAAAGATTCCTGGGTGTGCCAGGCAGGGAAGGTGGAAGGGACCATCCTGACAGCCTCAAAAGACCAGAGGCCCAGGTTGGAAAGTGTGTGGTCCAAGTTGGCAGAGCCCCTCCCACGAGCCACCTGGCTTCTCAAACTCCTAGAGACATTGGGACTCCCCCCTCAGACCCTCTTCCCACTCATCCGTTTCTCCGAGGAGCTAGGGAAGCCCTGTCTCCTCCTTACGAGATGAGACTGAGGTCTCAGTGGAGATACACCCCATTGCCACCTTGCAGCCAGTTGGCACCTGCCCTGCATACCCCTCAGCTCTGAGGAACCCAAGGAACTTTTGGGACCAAGGGATGAAATCCCAAGCTCTCAGTGCCCTCCTAGGTGTCCCCCACCACCCCTCTAAAGAGGACTGGGGCAAGAGCTAAGAAGGACACATTTGTGCCACTGCAGCCCAAGATCTGACCTTGCCTGCCTGTCTTCAGCCAGCTCTCCCTCTGACAGCCCAGGGAGGAAGTGCCAGGCATTGAGAAGGCCTGCCCCGCTTCAGTAACCACACACCCAGGAGAGTGGCCCTTCAAGCCAGCACAGGTTGTGCCCTGGAGGAAGAGGTGCAGGAGGAGGGGAACAGAGAATGAACTGGAACTCTCTGTATTGGGCCAGCATATACAACAGATGCTAACTAGAGACCCAGATAGCACCGGGCATGGTGGCTCACCCCGGTAATCCTAGATACTTGTGAGGCTGAAGTAGAAGGATCACACATTTATGATGAGCCTGGGCAATTTAGTTAAACCCAGTCTGCAAATAAAATTTTGAAAAGGCTGGGATATAGCTTAGTAGTAGAGGACTTACCTAGCAGACATAAGCTTTGGCTTCAATCCTCAGCACCACAACCACCAAAAAAAAAAAAAAAAAAAAAAAAAATGGAAAAAAAAAAAAAAAAAAAAAAAAAAAAAAAAAAAAACCCAAGTACTTGTGTTTAGGTTATAATCGATACAAACTGTGCATAAGATCCTAGGTTCAATCTTAAGCACCAAATGCTATTGATGACGTTAATGATGATAGTAACAGCTACCACCTCTATGGGCCACCTGGGCTGGGGTACGTAATCATCTCCAATCCTTAAAATAAGTTTGAAAAAAATACCCAAGCCTGGTGGCACATGCCTGTAATCTCAGCACTCAGGAGGCTGAGGCTAGAGGATCACCAAGAGTTCAAGGCCAGAAAGACCTCAAAAAAAAAAACAACAACAACAACAAAAGAAAAAACAGTGAGCTTTCTCAGCTGAGTGATGCCCATTTTAAAGATGAAGAAACAGAAACAGAGGCCTCATGTGATACCCTCAGGGTCACGGGGATAGCGACGGTAAGGCCCAGGGGTCTACCCTAGGTCTGTCCTCTCAAGGGCTGGCTCCTTGGACTTCTCCAGCAAAGGTTTGCTGACACCTCTGCCTGGCTGGACACTGAGTAGGGCTCTGAGAAAAACCAGGACCCCTAAGCTGTTTATGTCATGATCAATTCATAGTGACCAGACCTGCAAGAGACCTGGATCAAAGCCAAACCAACCTAGTAACCTTATTTTTTTATTTTTTTATTTTATTTTATTTTTTTGGTTTTCTTCCGGTACCGGGAATCGAACTCACAACTTTGCGCTTGCCAGGCAGGCGCTGTGCCGCTGAGCTAAATCCCCAGCCCCTAGTAACTTTAATAATCTGGGATTTACTGTAAAAACCACTTTCCACTCCTGGTCACATTAAACCCATTAATGACAAAGGTGTGACAATGGCAAGAGTATTATCTCCATGTTCCAGATGAGCCTCCAAGGTGTGTGGATTGCCCAAGGCCACCTAACTTGAACAAGGTGGGGCCAGGGCTTGATCCCAGCTGGGACGGAAGCCAGTGCTCTGTGCCACTATCTCCCATGCTCTCTGTCACTGCACATGGAATGTCCTCTGACAGTGACTACATATACCTGCCTGCTGCAGAGGTCCCCAATCTCCGTCCAGAGGTGTGCGGGCACAGCAGTTAGGATTATGAGAGTACAGCCATCTTCACTGGCAATGCCCTCAAGTGGGAGCCTGGTACTCACCAGAGCCCAAACATCTCCCCTAGAAATGGTTCTGGAGGCTCAGCCAAGTCCTCTGTCATGGGGGGCCCTTCCCTGAGTCTCTCTCTCCCGTTAGAAAAACAGCCTCTCCTGCCCTACCTGATCTGCTCATTTAACTTTGGGAGAGACTGAGATGATAGTCACAGAAACTTCCTAGGAAAAAAAAAAAAAAAAAACTTCCTAGAGGACAATAGCTCTCATTCTGGGTTTGGAAGGATAAGCAGGACTTTTCCAGTGGCAAGAATGCCAGTTATTATTTGGCTCCAGGTTGGGATATTTCACCATAGCCCCATTGGAACTCACTTCGGTCGTTGTTGGAGCTGCCTGGCCCTCCGTCTACCCGGAAATGTCCTTGATTCAGAGATAAGACAACTGAGGCCCCAACAGGGATCCAACTTGCTCAAAGCTGCACAGTAGGACAGGGGCAGAGCCTGGCCCCTTGCTCAGCCTTTTCCCCAAACTGGTGGCCTAGCCCAAGGAAAGAGGGACAAGGGGCAGTAAATCTGTTTCCTAGCTTCAGTTTACCCAGTTATGAAATGGGATGATTTTTGGTTTTGTTTTTTGCAGTGCTGGGGATTGAACTCATTCTAGGCAAGTGCTCCACTACTGAAAAAAAAAAAATTTTTTTTTTTGAAACAGGGTCTTGCTAAGTTGCCCAGACTGGTCTCATATTTGCAATCCTCCTGCCTCTCAGACTCCCGGGGAACTGGGATTATAGGCATTCACCAACATGTGCAGTTAAAAACTGAACTTTCAACAGAGTATCTGCTATGTGTTGAACATTTCATGTAAACATGGTAGGCCTAATTATCCTTGCTTGAGAAAGCATGAATCAAATAGAGGCCCTGAGTATCATCATTGGGTTGGGGGACTCGAAGTCCTGAGGGAAGGTACTAACCAGCCTGCGGATGCCCTTCTTTCCTGAAGCTCTGCTTCCCAGGTGCCAGGGTACACTGCTATGTCCTGCCCTCTGCCAGAGGGCCAGGAGGAGGTGGGAACCCCATATGGACCTCCTAACACAGCCTCTCCCCTTCTCATTCCTTCCAACAGAACCAGAGCTGGGGTCTGGGACAGGTCCTGGTGGCATGGGCACCCCTGGTCTCCTTCGGGGCAAGAGGGGAGGACACGCAGCCAACTACCGGATCGTCACCCGTAGGAGCCGGAATGAGAGAGGCTGAAGGCGGTGGCGGCCTCTCGGTGTGGACCACACCAGGCTTCCCTTTCCAACCTGGACTTGGCCAGCTGCTTCCAGGGATCACCAGTTCCTATTTATTAATGTCCTCAGGGTCCCTCTGCCATTTAGGCTTTAGGGGTAGGCAGGTCTCAGTTCTGACACCTATACATACCCCAGCAGGGACTGAGGCTTGAGAGAGAGGTACCAACTAGGTAGGCTTACTCAGCCTCACTCAGGGGCCTGGGCCTTTCTTTCCCTTTGCAAAGTGGGGTAATACAGGCCTTCGAAGAGTAGGTAGAGGTACAAGGCATCGTGTCTCATCCACTTCCAGCCTGAGAGGCACTGCAGGAGCCAAGAGCGGAGCTTTGCCCCACCCTCAGTATGCGCAGGGATGTGGAGGCAGGGGGCAGTCTCCGTCCTCCTCAGGCAAACTTCGGGAAGCCCCTGTACCTCCTGTCCTTGTTTTCTGGTGCTGAGTTCCCACCCCTGAGGCTGGGCCATGTCATTTCCCGACAGTGGTGACAGGCTCTCGGTCTCAGTTATGCCCCCAAGGCCCCAGTCCCTCCCCAGTGTCCCAGGTCAGGGGTGGAAACATGGAGAAGAAGAGGCTGCCTGAAGTGTGTGACGGACACTGGGAGAGAGATATGTACTGGCCAATAAAGGCCCCTACCTGGGTCCCACCCAGCCTGGTCTCACTGTGTGCTTGGATTGGGGCAGCCCAGGAGGGTCCGTCGAAGCTGAGGCCCAAGGACGGACAGATGTCGGTTGGAAATAAGTGATAGATGGTACCAGAGGGTCCAGCCCAGCCCCAAAAGACACAGCTTCCAGGAGGAAGAGGCTACAGGGCAAAAGCCTGATGTCGCTGGACATGAAGGAGCGCTTTTCTACAAATGGTCATCCATTTACTTTTCACTCATTCATCCCCAACGCCAACAGACATCAGAAACAAGTTCAAGGAGTCCAGGCTAAAAAACAAACTGGCTTTTATTAGAAACTCATACCAAGACAGCATGCCAGTGGCGAGGGGAGGGCATGCCTTGTACCCAATATGGCCTTCGGTAGACAGAACGGGGCCTCAGGCTATCTGCCCTCAGGCAGGGCCTGTGCCCCTGCCCTCTCCTAGGGGGGCCCAGGACCCTTTGGGTGGGCAGGTACCCCCCTCCCTTCAGTCACCAAGGCCTCTGTGTCCACCTGCCCTCCAACCAGCAGGGACACAGCACCTTCCACATGGCCTGTAGCTTCCAGCGCCACCATGGCTTGCTCTGTGGGGAAACCCATACGCTCCAGCTGCTGCAGCCTGTGAGGTAACGTGGAGACAGAAGTTGTATCAGGGACACTGCAGCCCCCACACCAGGGGCACCATCCCTGCCCACCCTACCTTACCGGAGAGAGGAAACGGAGGGCTTAGGCAGCCACAGTGGGCCCTGGAGCCCTTGAACTGGCCCATCCAGAAGTGATGCTTGAATTCCCTCCTGCAGCATCTGCTCATCCAGGGCCATCCACAGTGGGGTCCCTGGGGCAAAGATGGACCTGGCCCAGTCCAGATCCACCTCCGAGGAACCCTCCCACGTCAGCTGCACAGGCCCTAGGCCTGGTGAGAGCCTGGCTAGATGTTCACTGTGGGGCCAGCTGGGAGGGAAAGCCAGGTAAGGAGGGCCAGGGACAGCGGGCCTGCAGGAACAAAAGCAAAGGAAGGTGTGACTGCCAGCCACTGCCATAGCTTCCACCACCAGTGCTGGGGCCACGGTGTCCCTCTCACCTCACTCCAGCAGGCTGGGTGACAGGCAGTGCAGGTAGGCTGCCTGGGGTGGGAAAGAGCCTCAGCAGCCAGCACCGGGCCAGGGTCCTGCACAAGACGCCCTCCTGCAACATCTGTAGTCGCTGCTCTGAGAGCTCCAGCCACCAGAAGGCCCCGTTCTTATCTGTCTGCCCAAGGCAGGGCAGCTGGTCAAGGAAAACTGAAACCAGTGAGGGGTTTCCCAGCCCAACACACCAGGCCCCTTGCCAAGTGTGTGCTAGGCATTCCCTTGAATCTCACTACAGCCCTGAAGGAATGTGTCATCACCCAAGGCAGCAGCAGAAGCTCAGCACAAGGGAACCAGCCTGAAGCTACTTGGCTAAAGAGGAAGGACCAGGTGTGCCTCCCGACAAGTCTGGCTCGCCCCTCCCTTGGCCATCCTGACCTGCTCTGTTCTCAGGGCTGTGTGCCTGCTCAGGCCTGTGACTCTTCCAGAAAGAGCCCTGTTGACCACGTCCTGCTGTCAGCCAGACCAGCATGCTCCCCATTCACACAGGCCTGGGCACCCAGGATCCCAGATCAGAAACAGACTCCTCCCCTGGAATACTGCAAGGGGTCAGCCTGTTCTCTGTGGTAACCACTATTAAGCATCTTTGCAGCAAATGCCCGTTTTAGGCACCTGAACAACAGGTCCTAGGCTGTCCTCTCAATTCCCAGAGAATCCTTGGCCGTTGCACTTTCTGTGCCCTCCACCCAAAACTTTTCTCTGTGTGCTTCCGTTTAGATGCCATCATGGCAGGACTCACATCAGTGCCACCTCAGCCCTCCCAGACTCCCCAGAGCCCTTTAAATTCTAGGTGGCGCTTCCACCTGGCCATGACACCCCAGTCTTCACAGACTTACTCCTGAGACGTGTGCACAGCCACCTGAACTGCTGGGGCCTGGCTCTCCTGCGTCACTTCTTTCCCAGACACCCAAGCCCTCCGCGTCCCAGCCACAAAAGCCACAAAGCTACACAGGACTCGGCTCCAAAAAAAGGATACAAGCCAGGCCAGCAAGGAGGCCACAGAGGAGCTGCAGGAAGGGTGGCTCAGAGCAGAGCAATGGAGTCAAAGCAAGTAGCAGCCAGGGCAACAGCCTTGGTGGCAGCACCCCCCAAAACCATTGAGGGCAGTGACCATGCCCAGCCAGCATGGCTAGGTGAACTGGCATGTATCCACAGCCGCCACCTGCACTAGACACCCCAAGGCCTGCCAGCAGCACAGCCAGCAGCCCGGTGGCCAGGGAGAGCAGGGTGGAGGCGTGTAGGAAGCGCAGCGTGCCCAGGTGGTGCTCCTGCCACCAGCCCAGAGTGGGCAGCAGCAGTAGGCTCAGGAGCAGGCCTGGCAGGGTCACGTGGCCTACGGCATGAGTCAGCAGCCGGTGCACTGGGAGAGAAAAGGGGCTCATGTACCAGGTTGGGATGCAGGCAGGGGGATCATCACCCACCAGTGCCACCAGCTGAGCAAGCCGCCCCCATCAGGGGCCACTGCCCACTGCCAGCGCATGATCCCTGGTAGAGGGGACCAGGGGCTTCCAAACGCTGTGGCTACACTTCTGCTATGTTTATTGGGTCTACCACTCAATCTTCTAACTGCTAAACTCCTACTATGCCTCAGGCACAGTGGAGGTATGCTGAATACGTATTTCCCAAATACTTCACATCTGGCTAAGAATATAAGTTCTGACGTGACCGCTTGCATCCTGGAGTCCCCCACTCTCCCAGCTTTGTGACTAAATCCCTGAATCTCTCTGATTAAGTTCCTTAAATGTAAATTGGAGCTGTTACTATTGGGAAATAGGTGTTCAGCTGGGGTTACTCCTCAAACCCCCATCATCTCCTCCCCATTCATACTTAGCTGAAATCCTGTTTAAGCCTCACTTTGTATGTCAAAGGAAGGCTGACAGAACTGCTAGCTGGGCCTGGGGGCATAGTCATGTAATCCCAGCATGCTGGGAGGCTGAGGCAGGATTGTAAGTTCCAGTGCAGCCTGGGAAATTTAGCAAAACCCTGTCTCAAAATAAAAAAAAATTGGGCAACCCACTCGGGCCCCCTTCTGTCCCTCTTGGACAGAAGCTTTCTTTCCTTCAATAAATATATTCTGCTCTTATAAAAAAAAAATTTAAATTTTTCTTTTAAAGGCTGGGGATGTGGGGCTGGGGATTTAGCTCAGCGGCACAGCACCTGCCTGGCAAACGCAAGGTCGTGAGTTTGATTCCTGGCACCGGAAGAAAAACAAAACAAAACAAAAAAGGCTGGAGATGTAACTCAGTGTGAAGGACCTGGGTTCAACCCCCAGTACAAAAAAAAAAAAGAACAAGAACTCCTATCCACAGTTCTACTCCATTCTACTGGCATTGGCCCATCTGCTACTACCCCCCAAGGCACTGGGTCTCATCCCTGCTTGACCACTGCAGAGTACACGCTGCTCCTGCCAACTAGTCTCAGGCTCTACAAGTCTCCAGTCTATGAGGTCTTGAGTCTATGAGGTCTCTGAGGCTGGCCCTCACCCTGCCAGGGGTCCAGCAGCAACTCCGGGGCCAGGGTGAGGCTGGGGCCGGCTCCCACCAGCCACAGGCTAGTCATCAGCAGCATCAAGACAGAAGAGGCAAGAGGCAACGCTGGGAACAGTAGGCCAGGGGGCTCCCTGGCATGCATGGTTTGTCTGATTGAGGGTGGTCCTGGGACTGTGTGCTGCTGGTGAGAGAAAACACCAACAGTTATTATTGCAGCTTTATCTCACTGACTCTCTCAGCTACTTTACCAACAGCCTCATTTTATAGAAGTAGAAACAAGCTAGAGAGGCAGCTCAGCCACAATAGTTAGACCCAACCCATGTGCTAGTTAGCCACCTGCCCATCGTGAGGATGCGGATGGGGCCGCCACAGTCCTGAGTCCATGGACCTTGAAAAGAAGCCTCAGATAGGAGATGTAGGGCCAGGAAAGTGAACTGGGGCTCTGGACTGTCGAAAAGAGGGGTACAACCCCCTAGGGCAGTAATGGCAAATCTACTGCACTAAAACTAAACTAAAACCTCAGTATTCAGGTTCAATAGCAGTGCTGGCACTTTGTAATAAATAAATGGGCTTTGGGTTGCAGTTTGGACACTTGGTCTCTAAAAGGTTTGCCATCACTGCTCTAGGGAAAATTCAGGGTCATCTCTAGCCACCTGCTGCTTTTCCTTTCCCTTAGGCGGCCACCCTCCTCTTCTTGGCCACTGTACTCAGCTTTAGGATTCCAGTGGCCTCAGCTGCCCTAGACCAAAGAGCCAAGGTCATCCAATGGGCAAATAGATTGGATGGGGAGTGGGGTAGAAGGGCTAGAAAGGAGGCAGCAGGAGTCCCATATCTAAGCATCTTCCCCAGCCTTGAGCACAGCCCATCTGGCCCTAGCCTCCCTTTTCACCACAGATCTAGTATCTGCTCCACCTCTTTCTGTCCCCAGGCAAGCTTCCCAAACTTTGAGCCTCTCCTTTCTCACTGGTAAACTGAGAATTCAGAAAATCTTTTCCTCTTAGGATGATGAGAAAAAGGAATAGTTTAAGGCTATTTAAGGTCCTAGCCCACAGCCCCTGCTTAGTAAACTGTACCCACCCCACTGACTGGGAGGCATCTGTAGCCATCACCTGGCCCACTCACCAAGGCCCAGCCTCAATATAGAGATGGCTGCTCAAGACTAACTGGTTGAAGCTCCAGCCCTCAACATGGCCATTCCCTACCCACAAAGCAAGGCTTTTCCTTCTCCTCCCTCTCACATCCCGCCTGTCTTCCAGCCCCTGCTAGCGCCCCTTCACTCCTGGCCAGGCCTCTTCGTCCCAGAGCCCCTGCTGATTCAGGGCAGAAAGCAGGGTCCCAGCAAAATAAAGCTCTTTCCTTGCCAAAGGCTTCCTGTGCATCTGCCAGTTTCCTGCAGGAAAAATGTGGGCATCTCCTCTGCCTACAAGGTCCTTCTCCCTGTCTTAGATATGGGACTCCTGCTGCCTTCTTTCTAGCCCTTCTACCCCACTCCCTGTCTCCAGCAGACAAACACCTACTCATGCTTTGAAGCCCAACTCAAATGTCCCCTTCTTCTCCCCTTCCCACATCATAGAGCCTGGTCTTTTGTGCAGTTGGCCCATCTCAGTTGGCAGATGGTCTGAGTTCATGGGGAAGGGGCACTCCTCTCATCCTCGAATTCCCCACCACGCAGCCAGTGATTTTTATGTGTTCACTTAAAGACACTGCCTGGCCCTTGGTCCAGCTCAGGAAGTTGGGGTGAGCCCTGTCCTTCACTGGGTCCGTGCACCCAGTTATGAAGCTAGGTCGAAGTTAAGCAAAGTGGGTAGGTACCAGCCTTGCTTGGGGACAAGGCCTGGGGCCAAGACACCCACTGTAAGCTTCCTCTTGCATCCTCATAATCACTCCCACCCCCACCCCACGCACCCTAGCAAGGCTGAAGGACTTGCCCAGAGACAGAACTGTGCCTTGAGCCCTCCGGATTTATAAAATGGGGCTGTGCACCATCAGGCCCTGCCTACCTTGCTGGGAAGCCAGGAGCACACAAAAGGAAGTCAAGGACAGGAAGACTTCAGGGTGGTGGAAATGGGGGGAGTTAGTTCCGGGGTCTAGGTCGAACTCAGCTTTATGACTTTGGGAAAAGTACTCAATTTTCTTGGGCCTCAGTTTCCACTTCTGTTAAAACAAAGGTATTGGAAGAAAGGTGATTAAAGGGCTTTCTCAGACCCGACCGTTACGTGGTGGGGTGGGGGTGAGTCCTCGGGGCCGGGCACGGCGTTCAGGGCCTCCCACCCAACCGACCCGCCTAGGCCCCCACCCTCGCCGGCCCGGGCACGCGTTCGAGGTACTCACTGCCGAGCATGCCCACTACCCTGGAAGGCCAGGTGGGGCCCCCCGCTGGGAGTGGGCCCTCGGGCCGCACACCAAGGTGCCCCAAATCCACTGCGTGCACACCCAGGCACATGACCCCGTCCGACCAGCAGGCGCGCCACCCCCTCCCACTCCCGCGCTGCCCGCCGATTAGTCAGCAGTTGTTCTAGGCCGGGATCCCTTCCCCCGCAACCCTCCCGCCGGCTTCCGTTTTCCTCCAGGGCAGACTCTTCAGAGACGGTCCCTAGAGCTGGCGGACGTAACCATTCCGAACGACCTAGCCTCGTGCGGCGAATCGCTTCGGTTCGATGCTGACACCCGCTCACCAGCTCTCCAGCCCTTATAGTGCTGTTTTGTCCCACGCGTCACGTCCGGCACGCTTTAGAAAGGATTGGGACAACAATTTTAGGCGTGAAGAACAAGAAATTGATGGTTCGTCCCTCCTTCTACCCCCCCGCCGTGTCCTGGACCAATAGTAGCGCCCGACGTTGCGGGTTTTGGGCCTGCGCAGTGCGACGCTTAGAGGAAAAGCGAGAGGGTGACGGACGTTGAGAGAACGAGGAGGAAGGAGAGAAAATGGCGTCCACGGGTGAGTGTGATGGAACTGCGGTCGGGCCAGCAACGGCCGGGACCTCGAAACTGGGGGCTGCTCTTCCCTGGGTGTGGCCGGGACAATTGGTTGGAGTTGTAGAGAAAGGTTGGAGGTCCCCGCCGCGGCCCGACGAGCTTTGGGGGGGGGGGGTCCGCGTTCTCTTCCCCTCCCCCATCGGGCGGGCCGGTTCTGGAACCTTCCGGCGCGCGGGGGGCTCGCGCTGGCGGGGCGCTCCGGTCCGGCCTTGGCCTCCATTGTGTGGCTATCGTCGGCCCCCGCGCTCCCGGCCGCCCGCCACGTGGGCGGGGCCTGTGGCCTCTGAGGTCCCGCGTGAAGCAGGGACGCGCCTGGCCTCGAGTCCCTCAGCCTGAAAGCCGAAGGGGGGCCCGTGAGGTGGCTCGAGAAGCCGCGGCCCCGCGGACCCTCCCGTCTCCACTCTCGGGGGTTAGGGGTCCTAGCCCGAGGCGACTCTTTCTCACGGAGAAGTCGGGGCGGGGGGGCAAAACGGGCCGCCGGGACTCGGTGTGGCGCGAGGCTCTGGCTTGCGAGCAGGAGCCCGGTCTCCCCTCAGGCCCGGTCGGCTGGGTGCCTTCCAGCCCCCGCTTACACCGGCCTGGCCTGCGAGCCCTCCCGCAAGTCTGCTGCCCGCTTTGGACTTTTTTTTGTCTTTTTTGTCGTTTTTGTGTTAACCCCCCTTGCACTCCCTAGAAAGCAGTTAAGTGACTTCCCGGGGCTGTTTTTCAGTAAACGCCGAGGGAGATCAGTTGTATAAGAAAGCCAGCCTGGATCTGGAGGCCAGAAGTCCGAACCGAGAGAAATCTCTGGGCTGTCTAACCTAGGAGGAGCAAAACCTAGAGCCTGTATTCGGACTGTGGTTCAGCCACCGCCTGGCACGTTGATATGTGTGTTGGGCTCCGGGCTTGTTTATTCAGTGGGCCCGTAGAGGCTAGCAAAAGCAGGCCCGCGGTGGGCTTGAAAAGAGAGCCCGGGGTGGGAGCCCTAGAATGGTACCGATAGGGTGGTCCTGACTGCCTGGAGCGTCGCTGAGTACTGTATAGTGTAACTTCCATCTGCAGTCTGGCACGCTTCGCCCGGGATTATTGGCAGGGTGGAGCTTTTTTGCCTTTGGGGGTATTATTCCTTGGCCGGCCTGGTTCCAGTCCTTGGAGGCATTGGGAGAAAATGAGAGGGAAAGCGCTGGGTCCTTCAGAATTTGTATTTGGAAAGACCCCCGCATCTAACAACTGAAAGACAGTTTTAAGAACTCTGCCCGTCTGTGGGGCCAATAAACGGGTTAATGGTGGCTGTTGCTGAGGGGCTACCAGGAGTGCTTCTAAAAGAGAACACTCGAGATAATACAGAGACATCCTGTGCCCTTTCCACCCTCATCTTGCCTTCGACAGCCTGAAGAGACAGAGTGTCTACATTTAAATTTTTATGTGGCTGGACATGATTTTCTTCAGTCATGCTTCCTCAAACCCTTTTTGCTCACCACCTACTAAATTAAAATTACAAGTATGGTTTACATAGACACAATATTAGGCCACGCTGGGGGATCTTTAGGGAGTCATATGTCTTACTTGAATTTTAGTTTGCTTTCTTGCAAAATATGAGAATAGGTAGACCTTTTAAAAGCTTCTTCACACCCTCTGGTCTTAAAAGCAAAGCATTTTGGTCCCAACAGAGTTACCCTGTGCTGACTTTAATGCATTATATAGTCTTAAACCCTAAATCTGTACAGTTTGGGAAGTGACTGAAATGTCTTAAGTTGCTGCCTCAAGTGGTGTTGACATGTTTTTCCCTCCCTCACCTATAATCACGTAGAAAGGTACCCACACTATGTAGCATGTGTCCAGCTTACACAATTACAACACAAACTCCCAACCAACCACTGTTCCGACCTATTCTAGCAATAGAATATTGCTAGCATTCTAAAAAGCCCCTGCATCACCACTTGTCTCCTCTCCCTGTGCTGTTTTTAGTGAAGTTTTCAACTGCGTGTTTAGAAATTAAAAACACAACTGATTGTTAAGTAATCTTTTTTTTTCTGTGTGAGACAGGGTCTCACTACTCAGTTCAGGCTGGCTTTGAGCTCACTTTGTAGCCTAGGCTGGTCTCAAACTCACAACAGTGCTCCTGCCCCAGCCTCCCAAATGCTGGGATTACAGCCGTGCTGGGATTACAGGCATACACCACCACACCCGGCTTGTTAAATAATCTGAACACTGTATTCCTAGTTGTGTTTGAGGCCAGGTTGTGTGCTATAGGTAAACAGATTCTCATGAAAAAAAATTGCTGCCTCAGCCCGTCAGTGTAGGGTAAAAATCCTGTAGTTTCACACTGACCTGACATCATTAGCTGTTCCATATCAATTGTTTTGACTTGGGGTTTTTTGTTATTGTTGTTGGGTTTTTTGTTGGTTTTTTTATGTTTTTGAGACAGGGTCTTGCTATGCAGTTCAGGCTAGCCTTGAGCTCAGTTTGTAGCCCGGGCTGGTCTCAAACTCGCAATGATCCTCCTGCTTCAGCATCCCGAGTGCTAAGATTAGAGGCAGGGATGCTAGGATTAGAGGTGGGCCCCACCACGCCTGGCCGTTTTTTTTGGATTTTTGAGACAGGATCTCACTATGTAGTTTAGGCTGGCCTTGAACTCACGATGTAACCAAGACTAGCCTTGAATTATAGTGATCTGCCTCAATTTCCTGGGCCCTGGGATTACAGGCACCACCCTACCTGGCCCCGTTCAGTTTTATGTTTTACATAACTGCTTCTCACAAGCATTGAATTTATGTCAGTGATTTTTAAATCATTTTTCATACAGAATCTTCAGGAAAATGTAGGTTGAAATGCTTGGCTTTGGTGCTTCATTGTGTTTGTTTTGTGAATGGCAATTTGCATTTAGTGAGGAGGGGGTTAGAGGGAGTGGTTTTTGCATTGCTGGGGCCCTTGAGCCCAGGCCATTGGGCATGCTGGTCAAGTTCTGTATCACTGAGCTATATCCCCAGCCCCTGCATTTATTACACAGCCATTTCATCACCATCCCCATAATGGAGATTGAACCCAGGACCTTAACGCTGTGTTACATCCCCAGGCCAATTTTTATTTTGAGACAGGATCTCACTTAAGTTGCCCTGGCTGGCCTTGAATTTGAGAGCTCTTTTCTCCATCAGCCTCCCAAGAGTTGTGGGATTACAGGCATGCACCACCATGTCTGGTTACATTTAATTTTTATGTGTCATAAAGTATATGACTTGCAGCATTATTCAAAATGCTTCAGGAGTGACTTGAATGGATTGATTTTTTTTTTTTTTTTTTTTTCATTGTAGATATCCTTTGGGCAGTTGATTTTAAATGTTGATTCAGGGTTCTGAGCTACGAGTGTACAAACAAAGGTGAATTGCAGAGCAGTAGAAACACAGGCCAGTTTAAAAGAGATAGACTCAGCTACATATTCTGATGTTAGCCCAGTAGGTGGTGAGGCAGGCTTTGGATTGCCTGGCAAGGGGTTCTACCCCTCCAAGAACTGAAATATACACAGTTGCTTTTGGATGAGGGATTTTCTGACTGGAAAAGAGAGGACTCTTTGGTTCTGTTTTAATGGCAGTACAGTATTCAAACATTGAGTGAGAAAGGTATTCATGTGCAAAGGAAATAGGCTTTTTTAAAATAATTAACTGCCTTTTTAAAAAAATCTTAAAACTTCTGTAACTTTAATTCAGTAGTGCTGAGAAAATGTCTCAGCTATTTTCTGACTGGTTGGTTTTTTCCACTGCTTGTAGATATCTTAGTGGATTGGTTTTTGATCCCTTTTGATGTGTGTTGTAAAAAGTCATAGGAGGAGCCAGGCATAGTGGCACATGCCAGTAATCCCAGCACACGGGAGGCTGAGACAGGAGGATCGTTGCAAGTTTGAGACCAGCCTAGGCTACAAAGTGAGCTAGCTCAAGGCCAGCCTAAAGTGCATAGTAAGACCCTGTCTCAAAAAGATTCCAAAAAAAAAAGGTTATAGGTGGCCGGGCACATGATAGTGCATGCTTGTAGGATAGCTCTCAGGAGGCTGAGGCAGGAGGATTGCTCCAAATTCAAGGCCAGCCTGAGCTACAAAGTGAGTTCAGGGCCAACCCAAACTGCATAGTGAAATCCTGTCTCAAAAAGACAAAAAAGTATGGGGCTGGGAATTTAGCTCAGTGGCTCAGCGCCTGCCTGGCAAGCACAAGGTTGTGAGTTCGATTCCTGGTACCAGGGGTGGGGGAACAAAACCCCAAAAAAGAAAAGACAAAAAAGTTATAGGAGGGTTTATGTAGAGCCCAGAAAATTTGTGATTTTTTTTTTTTTAAAGTTCAAATCACTTTGGATTTTAGGAAATACATACAGTTATTAACCTAAAACCAAATTGTCCCCAGATATCTAGCTTTTGAGTTACTATACAGACATAGTCTTTTTTTTTTTTTCCTGGTACCAGGAATACTAGTTTGTAATGACTAGCTTCTTGTTTTCTGCCATTCCATTTCAGTGCCGTTGTGCTAGAGAATTATGATTGGTCTTACTTGGTAATGGGAGGAAGTGCTAGAAAAACTAGTTTTGAGGAGGGAAAACTACTAATAAATCAGCCTGACGGTGAACATTGTAGTGTTGTTGCATAGCTCCTTTTTATATGAACATAA